CCAACCCCAACCCCATATTCCATGTAATTTCTCTGAGAGAAATCATTTCTCTCATATTGTTGAAGAAAATCCACATTCAAGAACCTAAGATGGGCATTTTGAATTTCTTGCCCTTCTTCTGGCTCTTTTTCTTCTTTACCCTTGCATTAGTTACATCAGAACATGACAATGGAAATATCGGCAAGATTCCTAGATTAACGAATCCTCCACCTCCGCCGCCCTTGCCACCGCCTTCCGATGCAAAAGCTCCACCGTTCAAGCCTGGTGTTGCCGTAATTGTTGGAGTTCTCACAACCATTTTCTCCATCACTTTTCTGTTGCTTCTATATGTGAAGCACTGCAAAAGGGATATCTATGTTAATAACTCCAGAGGGTACCCTCAATCAGCAATGGTAGCAAGGAAAAATTCGGGAGTCGACCCGAAAGTTATTGCATCACTCCCCATATTCCGGTTTAAATCGTTGAGGGGTCAGAAGGATGGCCTGGAATGCGCAGTTTGCCTCAATAAATTCGAACCCGCTGAAGTTCTTAGATTATTGCCAAAATGTAAGCATGCTTTCCATGTCGAATGTGTGGATACTTGGCTTGATTCTCATTCGACTTGCCCACTTTGTCGCTACCGGGTCGACCCGGAAGACATTCTTCTGGTCGATTATGAGAATAAATCTCTGTATAATCATGATCAGTCTAATGAAAAATTGAGCAGTGCTCTACTATCTCCTAGCCAGAAGGGGAAAGAATTAGTTAATCCGAGAGTTTCAGGTCGGCATTCGTCAGCCGGTGAGAGAGGAAAGTCATTAGAAATTATAGTCGAAAATCCCGGCGATGATTTAAGCAGAAGATCACTGGACAGCTGGAAATCCTGCAAGCAAAACGGGTCCAGAGAAGATGGCCTGGCGGAGAACTCCAGGCAGGAATTAGGTAGCAGATCCCTAGATAGCTCAAAATCCAGGAGAACGATAGCTAATGAATCCCGAAAAGACGGGTTGCTGCTCGAAAAGCAGAAGCAGGATGAAAAGCATCGCCTGGAACACCGGATCATAATATCCGGGGAGGCTCAAGCAAGCAGCAGCAACAGTAGCCACGACCACCGCTGGAGCGACGTGCAGCCACCAGATTTACTCTACTTACGATCGGAAATGATTCTGAGTACAAGCCTGGGGTTCTCACGGAGGCGGCGAATCGGCGGAGATGAAGACGACACGGAGGAGGGGAGCGGCAGAGGTGTAATAAATGGAAGAAGTATGTCTGAAATCACAGGAATGGGTAGGTACAGAAGTAATGGAAGGCTGGAGGAAGAGGGACAGAGACATGAGGGGGTTGTAAACAGGTGGTTGGCTTGGATTTCACAATCCCAACAGCAGAAAAAGACAGTTGTGCAGTCTGCCAGGCCTTCTTCTTCTACTACTACCTCCATTGTTGTTTAGCTTAGCTTAGCTGTATTACTCAGAATCAATAGCCATTTTTCTTCATTTTATAATTGGAGAATAAATACTTGTAGAAAACTTCATGGCAGAGGATGATCCATTGGGACTTGGGAATTTGGCACCTTCCTATTTCATATAATATAAACAATAAATATTCTTGTCAAAATGCACATATATACACGTTTCAAGATTCCAATATGCACTACTATAATCCCGAATATTTAACAAAATTAAACAAGATTTTACTCCCAATTTCAGAACTGTCAATTGCTATCCGATTCTTCATGCCTGACATGCCACAAGGGTGTCATCTTATACGAGCAATTAAGCTATTAAAGAGATGACACGTCCATTTATCTAATATTTATTCCGACAAAGGGCACAAATGTCTGAAAAGGAAGCCAAATCCCTATTTAGAGACTAGAAGTGTTCGTAATTTTTTTTTTAATAAAAGAATAATACACAACTTGTATTATCAATTTACACTACGAAAATAACATGAAATTAGACAGCCCTTCTGAAAGTGTTCATAATCTGATAAAATACTCGTACTTTAACACATACTAGGATTTAGTTGTTTGGAGTATTTTACTCAAAACTACACGGATCCCATTAATAAACCTCGTTTAGGTACAACTTATAATTAATGGTGAAGAAAGGCGAAGATTGTAGCTGTGACTTCACCATGCTAAGAAAAAAGACACTGATTTTATTGCAGCACCAAGCACTAAGATGCATAAAAATGGCAGAAACTTTGGATTTATAAATAATAATAATCAGTGGAAAAAAAAAACTCACAAAGATAAATATATAAATTGAAAAAGGACAAAAAATTCCCCATTCAAGTTGCAAACTTGCATTTAGTGCCAGAATTTATCATCTGACCTTCACCAGATCACAAGTAGCATGCCAAACAAAGATAAACAGCAATTCTGATCATTTCTGTACTTTTTGCAAGCGTATTTACTGCATCAATATGCTCATAACTCTTTAGGATAAATAAATATGTACCGAAAATGGGTCACCAAATTAATGTCCTACTCTCACATCAGCGCGGGCCCCGCATGGATTTAAAAATTCCGGGTTGTGGGACCCACCCTTCTATTGTGAGTGTAGGTAAAAGATTCGGTAAAAATGTGTAAATAAATGTAACATTGTCCAACTCTTTTAACATTTCCAATAAAAATACAACAAAAGTGCTAGAAAGTAGCAAGGCCAATATGAAACTTTCTCCCTCAGTCCCAACGAGCCAACTGATGAAAGCATAATAAACTGTTCCAGGCTTTCTAATACAGCAACCATCGATCAAAATGAATTATTAGGTCATTTTTTATCCATTGTAACACCAACAACGAGGTTGCTTACCTGGAAATTTTGAGATAACCGTCTTAGATTGTCTTCTTCATCATGAAGAACAAGGAATACCAAGAGGAAAAAAAAAATCTGAAGTAAATATGAAACCAAAAATTACCAATTTGCCACTCTTGTCAACAGACATGGGATTTTCCACGACGACAGTTTGGCTCTGAGAATTTGGTAAATCCTGCAGTAAAATGACAAACAATAGAGAAAATATTAGAAATATGTTTCCCGTGTAATGTTTTTATGAATAGCGAATGTCATATCGGGAACTAACTGCTGAGCTAGAGGGCATTGATGCTGAAGAGGGTGCTCCATTTGACCGATGCATGGGAATGGGGACCCTAACATTACCCATCTGCAAATATAAAGCAATGAGATAAAAAGAACGATATTAGAGATGAATAAGATCTGGTATACACATCCAAAAAAATGAAAAGACATATAATACTTACATTGACGTTAGTGATATACTGGCAAACAGCGCATTTGACAGATGGAGCACCATATGGGTACATGAGCATCGTGGAGCAATTCCCACAATTGACATGAGCAATGTTGTGGGCTTGTCAGACAACCAAAATCCAAAATAAGAAAATAGAAAGCCAAGAAATCTAGAAAAAAAATGTCAATGCAAATTTTAGTGTGTAATGGTAATAGAGGTTTGGGGGAACCGTGTAATTTTAGAGAAACAGAACACCTGTTGATGATATGGTAAAAGATTTAGTTTTGCTATTTACATTTATTTAATTTAATGTCATGTAGAGCACTTGCAATAATTTACAAATACTTGGAATAGAGGAAGTAGTGAGTTCATGAGGGAAAAACTCATCAATTAAATAGGTTCAGAAGTTAGTTGATGGGCAATGGCAAAGCATACAAGAGTTATAGATAGATAAATTAAGTTATCAAAAGACTTTATTTTGTGGATCTTTGGTCTTTTCTTTCATCGGTCCACTTGTTAAATAAAATAAACAGGATCAAACATTATACATAGTCATGTATCATTCCTACAACTTCATTGGCAGAAACTTCATACGATTCAATGTATGAAACCTCGCTATAAAGAGGGAGAAAATGTATCCAAAAAAAAAAAGAGCCAAAAATATTGGCAAGATTGAAAAACAATTTTTCGGAAGTCATCGATGCAACAAAGAAAAAAAATACATGCACATGTCAGCGCACACCTATTCTTTGAATTATGGCACCTAGACTGCGTAAGTAGTAATTGGGTCAGAGTGGTCAACAGTGGTTTATGGTATACAAATTGCAAACTCTAACGAAAATGACAATTCAATGACCACCTGCTCGACTAGCGGTACTAATTGTCCTCTAAAGACAGAGAGCCAAACCATAGAAAAGGCACATACTAATTTTGCGTCCTGGAATTTCTCGAAATCAATAAGATCCAAAACCATTTTGACAAATTCATATCACTCAGTGACAAGATGGATTGCCAAAGCTAATCAAATAATGATGAAATTTGACTCTTGACAATTTCAAATCACCAAAAATGGCAAGCCATTAAATGTACTTTTCAGATCACTAACAACCAAGGCTCCACACATCAATTAAGTGTACCCGGTTACCAAGGCTCGACATATTTATTAGCAACGGAGCTACACTTCCAGAAAAAACTGACCGAAGCCTTGGCCGACCATCACAATAGGGGATGGGGCCACTTTTTTTCTTCCAATTGTTTATTCATGCTGGGTCCAGCGCTTGTGAGAGACGGTCAAAGCCTCTGTCATCCTTTTTTCTAGCAGGGAGGCTTTTTTCTATTTATTAGACAACATAACGGAGAGTTTTAAAAATCAATGATAGCCATCAATTATATTTACCTGTTGCAAGATTCACCGTATGACAACAAGAGCATCTCACACTAGTAGCACCATGGGTGTACATCAACAATAAACAGCAACCTCCACATATCAGTTGGGACATTTCCATTACTGAGAAGAGGGAGATTTAAGTCAAATATAAAACATTGGAACGTCCATTGCTGAGTTTGATCATAATAGCACAAGTGTCCAACAATATACATGTATGATCATACTTGAAATGGTTTCAAATTGCACAACTTTTTCAAATCGCCCATATTTTACAACTTAGCTAAAATCTCAAGTTTTGTTGATCTTAATATCGAGATGTGCGGAACCAAGGAAGTCATTACTTTATCAAATATCCGATATAAACACATGCACTACAATATATTGATAAGTTAAAATTGTTGATCAGCCAATACGTAACAGAGTATGCAAGTAAGCAGGAATGCATATTGCTTTCATTTTCTTCCTTTTTTAATTATTGGCATTTTAAAGCTATCAAACTCAAACAAATTATATGGTATTCGATATAAAACAAAAAAAAATCAACATTTTCCAAGGAACACTCAAACTAATCATAGCTTCGTGTAATTTCGAATTCAAATTTACCTGAAGTGGGCAAAGAAGTGATGGTATTACACACGGCGCAACACACATTTGTTGCTCCACGCGGGTACATAAGAAGGCTCCTACACCCGTTGCACGCTATCTGGCTCTGCATTCCTGTAACTATTTAAATAAAAAAAAAAAAAAAAACGTCAGTAAAATTAACACGAAATTATACTTAGAACGAAATCGAAGTTTCCAGAAAATTTGGAATTCTAGAGTACTTACCAAATATTACGGTAGAATGTGAAGAAATGGAAGCGGATGTATTTTCAGTTCATCAGCGATGGGGAATAGGATTTTTTTTTTTGGGGTTCTGAGATCGGAATCGGAATCGGAATCGCAATCGTGAAGAAGGAATTCTATGGGTTGGCGCGTGTGGGTCTTGATTTTTAATTTTTGAAAATATTTTCTCAGACAGTAATCGTTGAGTGGGCCCTTTCTCGCTTATTGGATTAGATTTAGAATTATGCTAAATGTACACAAACATGTATCTAAGGGTGTATCTAATATACACTCGGCGCCTCGGTATTGGCCGAGGCGCCTGTGGGCGTCAACATGGCAGGCGCCTCGACATTCGCTTATTGGATTAGATTTAGAATTATGCTAAATATACACAAACATGTATCTAAAGGTGTACCTAATATACACTCGGCGCCTCGGCCGCGCCAACATGGCAGGCGTCTCGACCAATGTCGAGGCACCAAGTGTCCATTAAATACACCCTTAGGTGCACAATTGTGTACCACTAGCAAGATTGTTAGATTTAACATGACATAACATGGAATTAAGGGTTCGTTTAATTGCAAATGTGAAATTTGGGTGAAAAGAAAATGAATTCAGGGGAATTGAATTGATGGGAAATTATTTTCCTGGGAATTGTAAATTATTGTATTTGATTGACATAATTTTTCACGTGAAAAACGTTGAAATAAAAGTATTTTTTGGTGTTCGTTTGACTTTGTTTTACATAAAAATTGTCAACTAAAGCTATAAAATTTACTGGTATTGGAGATAAAATTTGTTTCCATTGCAAAAAAATAAAAATAAATAAAAAATTCAAGAAAATTATCTATGTTTTGATATTCGTTTGACTTTGTTTTACATTAAGACTGTGTTTGATTACATTTATTTTCCATGGAAAATATCAATTTTCCACCCAACTTTCTACTTGGAGTGTTTGATTGCTATTTTTTTCCATGGAAAACATTTTCCAACTTTTGAAAATATGCCTAATTTTCCTTGTTTTTAAGGAAAATATTTTCCTTGGGTAGAGTTGGTTTTTATTTTCCACAAAAGATGGAAAACATTTTCTTTTCTAGGTAATATTTTCCATGCTAATCAAACACACTCTAAAATTGTCAAGTAAAGGAAAATATTTTTTTTACAATTAGGGATAGACTTTGTTTCTATTACAAACCAAAAATAAAAAAAGAACACAAAAAAAAATAAAAAATCGTCAACATTGCCTAGAAAATCTATTCCCACCATAACAAAAGCTGGAAATTGTCTACGTGGCTAGAAAAATGGAGAAAACCAATTCCCTAGAAAATAATGGTATCAAACATGCAAAAAAATGAAACTTGGAATTGGAATTCCTAATTCCATGGAAAACTTTGCTTCATCAAACACTGTCTAAGTGCTAGTTTGGTAGGAATTTTGTTAGTTGATTTTTTTTTTATCATTAGAGATAAAGTGGATCCTACTTGTGAGAGAAGAATTCAAAAATAATAATTGAAATAGTGAAATAACGATCAAAAAATTGATATCGATTGAATTAAAATCTCTACCAAACATGCTCTAAATTTTCATTAAGAATCGTTATATTATCTCGACAGAAAATAATCGATGCCATTTGTCAACAACCCAAGTAACCTCACTAAAATCCTAGAAAGTTTTGAACCTCACAGTAGTCCCTTCATTGCCCATTTTCCTCTTTCAAAGAAAATTACACTCAACATAAAATTTGAAGAATAATATAAGGTTGAAAGTTGTAATAAATAAATAATTTAGTTATTTTTTATAATAATAATGTTAAGAAATCATTCATTTGGGATGCAAACCAATTTGGGTGGGGAAGGTTTACGGCATGTTTGGGAGTTTTTTCTTTCATCAATTTTGATGGATTTTAGGAGGCACCATTTATGAGAGGCCGTAAAAATTAGTGTTTGTTAGTTTTTTTGGGCTTCAATTTTGGAAAGTTTAAATATAACTCAAAATCGGTGTAGCTTAATTGAAATCGAATCTCTCAACGACCAAATCGACAATCTTTTACCGTTTCTCATATTCTCTTCTACTTTTGCATTTTAAATAGTAATTATTTTCAACCAATATATTTTGTTCAAAACTATCTTATAAATAATAATATACTAACTAAAAAATTTTATTATAAGCAAAAAAAAATATTACGTTGTAATTAAAAAATTACTTATAAATAAGATAAAAAAAATTACTTTGTGTAAAAATTTGTTTATAAAGTAAATATATTGTTAATAATACAAAAATTCACTGATAAAATATAAAATGTTACTTATAAATAAAAATGCACTTATGTGTAAAAGGTATTTTATAAATAAAAAATTATAGTTATAAATTTTACTTATAAGTAAAAAAATACTAATATTTTCAAACTAAATGTTAATTCATATGTTAAAAAAAAAAATGCATGTCAGTAAAATATCACTTACAAATAAACTATTTTATGCAAGAAACTATAAACTGAAAATTTTACTAAAAGACATATATATAATTTTATTATTTAAAAAAAATTAGAACCGATGGATAATAAACTCCCAACTATAGGTTGAATTGTTTAAAAAACCACGACTAAAATCATTCAAAATCGATCCACTCATATAAGCTCAAAATTGATAATTTAAAAAATGCTCATAACCCGCACTCAAAACTCCCAAGCAGGCCCTTGAGGGGTTGAGATTGGGAAGGTGCCATATGCAGTGTTGGATTTGGAATTTTCATTTTGAGTCAAATTCTAATTGTGGTGCGCATTTAAATTTCTTGAAAAGGTTTTTTCAATTTTGGAAATTTGAAAAAATAAATGGAAATCATTATTACCCGTGCACGTTAATATAAAAATAACAAAAAAATTTGTATTATTTGTAATGGTCATACATTCAATCAAATTTTGATACATATATGTGTGTGCGTGCACGCGCGCGCATAAAAAAGAAAACGATCTTTCTTTCAAAATTCGAAATTGAAAATAAGGAATGGAAGATTTGAGTTAAGTAGTTTTTGCTATCCTTAGAATAATTAGCTTGTGTATCGTGACGAAATTACATCTACACAATTAAATGTATGGAAATAAATCGCTAGAGGTGCTAAATGTTAGGGATTAACTATGTAATTTTTTCAAAAAATAAAATAATTGATAATTGCACCAAGCACTGCACTTTATTTGTAATACATTCTTTTTATTTATAAATGTTGTATTTTAACAAATATACAAGTAGATCACGATCTAATTCAAGTGGTAAAATTGAAAGCTTACAGGTTAGTGACCTCGATTCAAGTTTCATCTTGAAAAGTGATGATATTCCAAAAAATAATAATAATAATAATAATAATAATATATATACTAGCATTATTATTGAGACTAGAACTCTTAAGGAAGAAAATAAATTTATGGATGCAATCAAATATGCAGTATTTACAGACAAAAGTATTCGGTTATTGGGAAAAAAATCAATATGCCTAAAAAAAAAAAGGATGCAATCAGTATTAAAGCATTTCAAAAATTGCCCGAACTTCATCTAATCTATATATTTTCTTTTTCTTTTTATTCCTGAGTGAATAGAGAGTATTATGACAGAATACACTCCATAGAATCATTTCACAAATGCGTTTGTCTGTGGACGGGTGTATAATCCATAAAAAGACAGATGAGTAATTAACTAATAATGAAAACTCAGTTAAACAACTAATATCGGAACTTGAAAAATTGTGTACATTTTAGAAAATTATGCTAAGTCTACAATTAGAAGTAGATCTTGCCTAAATTGATAAATCAAATACAATTTTTCCACAAAATAATCAAAGTCAGAACTAAAATCACTCGCATAACAATAAACTCTAAGTATGATCTGATTACCTAGGAACCACATATGAAAATACATTCGGGTGACGAAGAACCAAAAATGAAATCCACAACTTATTGGAACAATTATAATTCATCCAATCTCAAATTATGGTAAAACAAAGAACAAAACCCACATCAAATTAATGAATTCTGCCAATAAAAAAATGCGAAAACTAATCTCTCAAAATGAGGTTTGAACTCAGGTTTGTAGTGTATTTGTAAATTGTTCCCTTAAATACATTGTAAAAGTCAAAACCTTGGTGGTGACAACAGAATGAAAAAATTAGGTCGAACCATATCCTTCAGTTTATCTTTTCACAAATATGGTCATAATAAGTTTCTTCACAAACTAGGTATTTATTCTAACAAATATCTAATTTAAGTTTATTTTTAGATTATATGCTATTGTTTACATATTTTTAGATTGTATGCTATTGTTTACTATTAATAAGATGAAAATTCACTTGTAAAATATTAAAAGTTATATAAAAATTTTACTGGTGTAAATAATTACTCATAAGTATAAAATTCACTTAAAACTATAAAATTTACTTATACGTAAAAAATTTTACTTTTAAATTAAAAATTAATTATAAGTAAATATTTCGCTTTTAAGTTAAAAATAACTCATATGCAAAAATTTACTTACAAGTAAAATATCAATTAAGAGATAAAAAAATCAGACAAAAAAAGTATAAATTGGAAATTTCACTAAATGATGTACACATTTATTCCATATTATTTAAACGTACACAATCCTAATCTCCTATCCCCTATAGATAGATAAAAACTTCTTATCGCTAACGTAGTAACAGTTGCTTTGTTATAATTCTTTGAAATGATCATAAAATTCAGAGAACCATGACGAAGGTTCTTTGTCATGTTATCTGTGAGAAATCTTTATCCTGCCCATTGGGGGCATGATATCGATCCTACAAACATATATATCATTATTATATATGAGCATATATGTAAGTTTACACTTTTAAAAAACTTTCAAAATTACAAAAAAAGTTCGACATCTCGTAAATGCTCAAAACAGATACTTTTCATACATCTAATAAACGCTCAAGATCGGTACTTTAAAAAATTTGATAATCGGTACCCCAAAACTCCCAAGCAAGCCATTAAAATTCGAGGTTATTGTTTTATAATGCATTTTTGTAATATTTGAATGGATTTGAATTTGAATGCCACCAATTTCTAATTGAACCATAAATTTCGTGCTCATCATCTATGACAATATTCAAATTTGAAAGAATCTATTTTGATGTTTCCGGGAAGAATAATGATATTTATCTTCATTAAATGATTATATTTTGTATTATGAAATAATGAGACCATTTATATATATTTTGTGGAAGGTGAAAACGAGGCTCCATATCCAGCCTATGAGTTGGATTGGTTTTTGAACTTAGACCTACCCTACCCATTTATGCAATGGTGTCTTGCCTATTTATTTACGATTGTATTATATATACATCACAACTTATATTTACTAAAAGACGATGCTACGAGATTTGATTTGGTTCTGGTTCGATTTCAATTAAAATGTCAAGGCTTAAATTATACATGAGATGGTGATATTTATTTTATTTGGTTAATTTAGCGAAAGCCTAAACTTATTCTTTCATTTTGTTGATATATAATTGGAATCCCAAGTTTGGAAATACATATCCGCAGCAATTGATTTCGATACATTATTTACTTTTTTATTTGATGGAATTGTCCCAGTTTGGCCCTTATTAAATTAAATTTTATCTTTCTCTCTTTTCTATTTTCAATCACACAATTTTCAATAAGATAATATTATACGTAAATCGAAAACTTTTTTTTTCAACCGCTCATTCTCCAAAAAAAAAAAAAAAAAAAAAAAAAAAAAAAACTACTCTTACTTTCTTTTTATCATTAACCCACAGTGCATAAGTTCAACCATTTAAGCAGGAACGCCAAGCCCTCTCGAATGAGTTCTACTATAGAAGCTTTCAATGTAGACCCGGGGACAAATCTTTCACTCACTGAGAAGTGAAAACCTGTGACTAGAAATTTTGTCAGTTTTACTTCAAATTAATCCCACATGATTCATTCACTCGTAAAAGAATTTGTCAATGATAATATGTAAAAAAAACATTATTTATTTATTTAAGCAAAATGTTAAAATCTCTACAATATTGAAAATAAAATATTTTGACGAAAGGTAGAATTCGAAGAACGAAATACAAACATTATGCTATTCCTAAACAAATTTCTGTTTTCAACTGGATAAGCAAGTTCACAGTATCTTCAATCACCAATTGTCCATTTACCAAACCCTAAACGCTGCGCATCAATTGCAAAATGGCGTCCGCTACTGTAATCGCCGGCAACGACCAGATATTGATAGAAATGCTTCTCCGCCTCCCCATAAAATCCCTAATCAAATTCAAATCGGTAAGCAAGAACTGGCACGTTTTAATCTCCGCTCCTTATTTCTCTCAACTCCACACTCTCCGCCACCAACTCCACCGTCCCAATACCCCGCCGTATCTCCTCCTGCGCGCCTCCCCATCCCGATTTTTTTACTTCAACCTTCCTCCCCTATGATTTTCCGTTTTCTAGCCCTAAACTCCTGCGATCCTGCAATGGGTTATTATTGTAAGTATTATGTCCTAAGTCCAATCGACTTTGGACATAAATACTTTTATATATGATTAATGTAATTAAATGGCAGATCTATTATTTAATTAATTGACAATTAAATAAATAATAGAGTCCGTAGATTCAAATATTTGTAATTTATTAATCACAAGGAGTTGTGATTGTGAGATACAAATTACATCTGATTGAATCTTAAATCATCCGTGGTCGTAAGTAATAACGAGATACGGATATCGTTATTACGGATAGACCATCACGTGTGGCATTTCTTACTTGTGAAGTAAGTAGCCGATCTCACAAGTTAAAGTGTGGTGACACTTAAATGAACACGTGGATGTTTGTTATAGAACAAAACATTGGAGACCCGTCGAGAGATTCCACATGGATAACTATCTGAGTGTCGGTGGTTAATCTCTAACGTTCGGTAGTGAAATTGGTCCTTTGACTTGAGGTCGTCATGGTACCTTATATGAGGACAGTCATACTTTGGCGGTGTTGGATGTTGCTCTGAAAAGGGCCGCTAATACGACATCGTTCGGGTACGTCAAGAATCGTATGAAGGTTGTGATTGATCAATAAAGGATTCGTCACTCTTAGATAGTAGGAGATTATGATCTGCGTTTCATTCAATTAAGTCAATGATCAAATCCTTGGCCAAGGTGTACACATAAGTCGAAAAGGAGTTTTCGATTTGTATTGACTTAATAGTGGAGTGAAAGATATGATCGATGATCGAGATTGACACAATTCCATATCTCGTAAT